AGAAAACTGAATTTCTTCTTGTCTCTCCCTTCCTTCCTCTCCTCCTGCAACAATAGTTACTAAATTAAATTTACATATGAAAGTACCAATTTTAACAGTTCTTTGGGGAGGGAGGAAGGAATGGTTCCCCCTTGTTTTCATTAAAACTAAAATATTGTAATTTGGAAAGAAAGGCATGATAGCTTACATGAAGGATGCCAAATAAGGCAATGGCAATAAATTTTAGGAATTATCAGTAGCCAGATCCTGCTCCCGTGCAAAAGCAGGGCACATGTGAATTGCCTGTTTGTTTAAAGTAGTACTATCTCAGCCAAATTCTTTCCTATGGTTGCCTCACTGAACAAGATGTACTTGTCATCTTAAACAAGAGACCAGCCGAACCTCAGCCCCCTAAGTAGGAAGCACCCTGAACCTTGTTTCCCAAGAAGTGGAATGCCATCAGCTTCCCTCTACCCCATCAGACATGGATACAGAGGGAAGGGAGCTGGCTGCCTGTGGTGGCAACTAATTACACAAACATGCCCTATATAAACCTTCCAGGAGAATTCTAACACACATGCCCCCAAATCCACTCTCAAATGCTGTTTTACATTAAATCCCCGAAATACGCAAAGCTTCCATCAGAACTTAAAATGGAATGTGCAACTGCCAGTAAGCAACATAACTTCATGGTTAATACCCTCTTCCTTCCCCTGAATCCCAAAGCCAGATAAAAGATGAACTTTTTCAAATATTTACCCTTTCGGCTTTTTTCTTTTGTCACTGCCTTAGTATTGCCTCAATGTATCTACTCTATTTGGGGATTTGTTTGGTTTTTTATATATTTGGCAAAGTCCAATAACATTCACAATAAACCAAAAACATAAATATTAAAAATAAAAAACTAAATTATATGGAATATTCTGTACTATCAGCAAGCCTTTTTCTTCTTGCGCTGTAGCCTTTTATTAAAATCTAATACTAACACCAGATTAATGTGACAGCCACGAGTATACAAACCAAGTTACAAAGGAAATAAGCTTTTATTACTTTTCCAAAGATACAGCTAGCTTAAAAGTAACAGAGGGATGATGAAAATCTCTAAGGGGGAAAAAAAAAATGAGTGTTTCTGAAAAAAAATATTCAAATTGTTAAACAGTTAATTGGATTGCCAGGCTGACAGTTAATACAGAAATCCTCCTTACACAAAGTCTTTACTTCAGCTGTGTATTTCCCCAAGTACAAAAAGAATTTAAATCAAACTTTTCTTTAGCATATGAGATGTTGAGATGGGTGATGGAGTTACGCACTAGCACACAGTACCAATACAGACAATAACCAGGACCAGTAATAAGAAATAGAACTGGATTAGTCAGACACCAAAAATATGCATAACAAACTGCCCCAAAATAGTTTTTGTCCTGCTGGAATTCTCCAGGAGTGTTATGACTTCAAATGCAACAGTTGCAGAGCTCCAGCTGGAAGAGTCCTTCTCAAAAAGTCGTTAGACATCAGAGAGTGAGTCATTCTTTAGTGAACATTAATGATAAAAAGTTTCAGAGCCATTAGTGAAGTCGAACGTTAAACTTCTTCTAAACCATTAAACAGATGTTCCAGCCTTTATGCTAGCATGACTTTTTTCCTAATTGCCTCAATTACGTCCTACCAGGAGCCTGTTGTTCCTGCAACTCAGCACAGGACTCGAACTTCAGCTGAAACTTTTCTCATCTCCTTCCACCTCTGCAGTTCCTTTTGTCCCTCATAAAGGGCAACAGCAGCTAACAGCGGGGTCTCACAAGGAGATCAAGAGACAAAGCTGCAGAAGCGACGGCAGCAGAGGAAGGAGGAACATCTTTCACAAGTGGGTCTGAGCACCAGGAAAGTACAGTGGTGAGGACAGGAGGAAGAGCATAGCAGAAGAGGGCCAGACAAATCTCCAACTATCCCATTTACATTTAGCCCCACAACAAAAATTTCCCTGGAAAGGAGTTACTGGTTGGCATAGGTTAATGGCCTGTTAATCACAGAACAGGTCTTTAGATTTAACTGTAATTAAGCCTTTTCTCTCCTTTGCTCCCCCTTGCCCTTAAAGACCATTTACTGTACATCTTTCTTCCCCTTAAGAGGCCCATGAGGCTGGGGATGAAAGCAACAGTTCGTTATTTTTAGAAGACATGACTGCAAATGGCTTCCAGCTGAAATGTTAGAAATCTTTTCAAGCAAAGTGACTTGATATGACTCATTTGCTAATGTCATAAGCCTGTGGCACAAAACATCTTAAAAAAGATAGTTTTGTCTAACTGCTTATTAAATAGGATCCATTTTTATATTACTATGTTTTTGTTTTCCTTCTGCATCTCAAATAATCTAATTTCTCAACAATTAAGCAGTTTGTTTTAATATACTCCTGCTGATTTAAATAGGAAACAATACAAGCAAAAGGCTATAATCTTTATTAGGTCAATGATAGTTTCAGTAGGTTGCAGTAAATTAAAAATTTCATTATACGCAATTAAGCAACTTCATTAATATAATTGCCATTTTCCTCACTCTTTTGGCTTAGTATATTTAGTATATGCAAATAATTATATTGAGATATACACGCAAACAAGCACATACATGTATTTTCCACCTACTATCCCTATATTAAGTGTAGGTAGAAATCAGTAATGGGCTTCTGAAAACCAGTTAAGAAACTACACTTAAAAAGCAGCTTCCCACCATTAAAAGCTGCCCACTGTGGGCAACAGTGTAAGAACACACAGCTCTGCAAGTTAAGCACATGGGAGCGTGTATGTACCATACTGACTCATTACTTACTCGTTGTCTTAATAAAGCAGAGCCTATTTGTTTTCTAGTTACAGAGCCTGGACAAGGGTCATAACCTGGACTGAAATGTGAAATGCCACACCACAATACAACGCCACTCCTATAGTTGACAGAACATTCATCTGTTCTTGGAAACATGAAGTTTTACTTCGCAAAAGAGGGAGTTATGTTATGAAACTAGTAAAAAAAAAAAAAAAAGGTCCAAAAATGTTATGATTGTCTATCTTGCAGAAGGGAAGCAATTTTCAGCCAAGTAATTGGTACATTTTCTTAGTGCATTATGTTTCTCAAAACATGTTACTGTAGGTGGAGATTAGCATCCCTTTTCTTCAAGAGGAAAATTACTTGTCTTCTATAGTGACTGGAGCTGTCATTCCAAGAGCTGACAAATGTTAACAATCTCTGGAGGTGTTCTTTACAAACATCTCAAAAATAAATAAATATATTCAGATCAAGGATCCAATGACCAAAGAAAGGTTATAAATAGAAAGAAAATACCACAGTTTGAATATTCATATGCACCATATATCCATCACAAGTAAAACTGTTTTAAAATAGCTAAATCGTCACATTCACATCTAGTACTGAACTTTGCCAGAGAAAGGACACAGAAATATTTAACAAAACAAAAAGTTTGCTATACTTTGTTTTGCAGGTAATATCAAAGAAAAAGCTAAGCTAGACAACAGCTCCTTTACTGCCATCCAGTCTATTAATCTGTGTAGATTCGCAAAACCCTTACATCTGTGTTCATGAAACTGTACAAATTGTTTTCTTTACATTATGTTTGTTGTTCTTCATCACATTATCACTGGAGTTTCTTGAAGGTGTTTCCAATGCTTGCAACAACAAAACATGAAGCTGAACCTCATTATCCCACTGGCTGAAAGCAGATCCACAAAGTCCCAACAAACCAATTTGCTCAAATTGATTTCTTAAACCACAGTAACTATCGTAATTTGTTTAAAGCTATGATGCCAACATTCCAAGACACTGTCTATATGCTTAATACACTTAAACATTTAAAACTTCAACAATAAAACTCATCTTTCTTTAAAAAAATTACAGCAATACACTAATACACAGAACATAAGGAGACACGCAAATACTTTTCATTCTTCTTTGCAAGAAATTATCAATCATAATTGATGGGGACAGAAGACTTAAGATATTATGACTTCAGTCTTACTATAAAGTTAGTATCTTGTTAAAGAGGACAAATAATATGTATTCAGGGCATACAAACAGGTAACATTTTCTAGGGTCAGACTATACCTGCTTTGTGTACTTAAACAAGAAATTTACAGCTTCAAATGAAGAACTGCAAAATACTTCATTAGACACAATGCAAAAATGTTTCCTTAGCCCTTCCTCACCTTTTCCATTAGGAGGCCTGAACTTCCCTGACAGATGCAGTGCCTGATTTCAACATTTTCTTTCAGTTACTGTGGAGACATATCCAGCTTAGATCCCCTCATTTCCCAGATGGAAGGGACTCAAAGCAGCTCTTTATGGATGAGCTACACCTGCCCCACCTGAGAAGCACGTCTCATGTATCCTCCCACACTAAGCCAATCATTTAAATCCTGGAAAGTTTAAGAAACAGAATTATTCAGGAGGATCAGACTTCTAGCAGAAAGGGAAAGACATCAAAATTTTCTTCTGCTGATTACATGAAAATGGGAGAACAACCTAGACCATTTAAGCCTCTGAAAGGCTTAAATGAAAGACTAATTATCATTTATTTCACTTCATTACATAAAAGTTCATAGAGTGGAGAAAGGAAGGAAGCTGTGATACCTTATCAATGAATGAAAGGCCATTATTTTCAAAGGAAAAGTAATTCATGAAAGGATGAGTTATGTATTGTAGAAAATAATTATGTAATATAATATTCTGTATTATATATAGAATACATTCTGACATTATACAGGTTAAGAACCTGAGAAAAATACCGACTGTTTCTCCTAAAGAGAATGCCACATCTGTACAGCCAAAAGTATTTGATAACTTACATTTTTCTTTTAGTAGGAGTGAGATTATTCATTAGTTGACTGAAGCCTGCACTACATTGCATGCACTGACTTGGTGCAATGCCTGTTATTAGTGACTTTCTCAATCATACAACTTCCTCCTTTGCAAATAGGAACAGCTTTTTGTCATTAGTCATGATGAGGTGCCATTTAGCTTACCGTGGAACAAGGAAGATGCTGGAGTCAGCCAAAGTTAAAACTTTCTGATACTAAACAGCAGGTTACTTGATGTCTTCAGCATTAGCATTTAAGTTCACTGCAGCTCAACTCATTTTGTATCAGAGAAGATTTATATCAAGCAGTGGGAAGTCACGTCATCTTCTGGGTCTGTCTTACAGAATTACCATCAAGAACACAGGTTATAATAAGCAACAAATAAAAGCATAGTTAGGTGAATATTTCAAGTGCTATTAAAACTTGTAAAGGTTACTCCGGTGCTAGAAGTATTTCATAAACATCTCACTCTTGGAGATACTTCTTGAAATGAAACATTTTCTTTTCTCTTATAATTTAAGTGGATAGTGTAGTGGAATTTTATATGCCAGTATATGCCATTTTATACAAGCCAGTAGCAAGCTACATAATTTGCTTCATCCTATGCCATTCTGAAGCAAAATTTACTGTTCACAGGTCCTTTTGACCTTAGGCTGAGATCCCAAAAGGTGTGAGACAGGGACAACTGCAAATGTTCACAAGGGCATTTTGATGATCTCCTGTTTAAACTTAAGCTTGGTACACACCATGTTCTCACTTCCACGTTATCTGAGGATGGTTTCAGTTGGAAGGAACATCCGAATATCATCTAGTCCAACCCCCGTGCCATTGGCATGGAAATCTTAGGTATTATGAAGAAAGCACCATTTTTTCTTCACAATTCTTCCCCCTGAAATAGGTACTTTCTTCTTGAAATTTATATTTGAAAGACCAAGCTTGCTTCTTTCTTTTACAAGCAATACAATTAACTATCCTGCAACAACCTTTCACCTCCACTGAATCAACTTCAGTCAGATCAACAACAGTTCCAAGGTCTTCCTACCAGATCTTATTTTTCATTTCATCTTCATTCTAGGGAGGCTGGAAACTCTGTCAAATGCCAACTACAAGCAGTAAATCCAAGCTTAATTTTACAACAGGCAGTCTATGCCTTTATTGAAGGAAATTGCACCTCATTTTAGATAACATTACATTTCTACCTCACACACAGCCCTAAACACTACAACTGCACTCCTACTTCCTATCAGTGAATACAGCATGGAATGAAGGCAGAAAACGTGCTGCCATCTCCTTGATAAACACTGAAGATATAACTTTTTATGTGAGACAATCTGAGCACTAAACGAAGACACATAGTCTTCCATGTTAGAGCAGACTTGCTTTCTCATCACACATCACAACTAAACATTTTTTCTAAAGTATATAAAAAGTTTTTCAAAGATCTTAAGTATTTAAATCACAGAAGCATGAGATGAAAAATGACAACTCTCCAAAGAACAACAACAACAAAATGTATCAATTTTTTTAAAACATAGGTTAAAAAATACCTATCTATCTCATCAGCATGACAAAGTCTTATATGGAATATCAGTTTAAATAACAGTATATCAACACCACAGCTCTGACAGCTTACATTAATTTAGCAACAAAGCAAATAATTAGGGTTTCTTCACTTAAACAATTAAAAAATTATCTAGGACCTAAAAAACTACCTACTGAATCAGAAGAGTGGGTTTGGAAAAATTTAACTATTACATGTAAGACCTGCATAAACTTTCTTTAGAAACTACCATGCCATTTTTGCATTATGGTAGTTACATCTTTTACCTTTTCTTCAACAATTGTTCCTGTTATGAGCATTTTCTGGTCTTGAAAATGATAGTATTAGAGTATCCAAATTGAGGAAAAAGCACCTGAAGAGTGAAACCTCAGTAATTTAAATCCTGAAAAAGAAAATCACATTTTCAAACTGGGAAACAACAACAACAAAAAAACCCAAGTAAAGATGTTTCCTCTCAGAATATATACTTGATTAACAGCAACTGTTATGAAACACTGATTTACATGCAAAAATACCTTAAACAGCATTGAAATATTTGAGTATGCAATACAGATTCATAAGGAAAAAAAAAAATCTCCAAATCTTCTTTTTTGTTCAAATATACAGCAGCAAACATACTTTTTCAAACACAGCACGACTTCTTAAAAGCAAGGAAATTTCACTATGTTAAGACAGAACACTTCTTTATTGGAAAATGTTTGACATCACCAAGTCAAAAAAGAGCCCACATCCAAAAAATCTCTCGCTATTGTTCTACTGCATTCCATTCCTGTTACATCAACCCAATATTTGTTACAAATTAACTCTGCCCTGCAGGCCAGTGAATTTCTATTAACAACTTATTATGGAGGAAAGTAAAGCAGCACAGTCAAGAGCTCTACCAATCAGACAAAGCCAGCTGTCATTCTGCTTAACTTCTACAAGGAATGTCCTCAGACCCACATGAGAGAAAAGAAACACCATTTGGCATTTAAACTTGAGGTGCCAGGATGCATTAAAGCAGAAAACAAGCCTGGATTGATTACTCCGATTTTAAAAGGTCAAGAATCGCTAAGGTTTTTTTGTTTGTTTTAATGCATTTGTTTTAAGTTGATTTACAAGGCAATTGTTTTAAATTGTAAATTATAACCTTGTATAATGGGTACTGCCGTAATTAGATTTTAACTGTATGCTAATCTGAACAGGGGGGAGGGGGTTCATGCTTTCTCATGCTATTCTGCAAATAAAGACTGCATATTCCATAAAAATACTAAATCAGATCAATAAAACAGATATTTTTAATGGATTATATGTCTGTAATGTAAACTGCAGGGTTTCCACAAATTATGAACATTTTGAAACATTTAAATTTCATTTGAAAATGCGATTTTTGCTTCTTTCGTATGACCACTGATTCATATCAACCGTTTTCCAAATGGACACGGATAGGGGAGCAGCGTAGAGAACACAACTACAGTAAGATAAGCAAACCAACTCATAAAGGCTTCATCTTTGCAGTCTTTCAAGATGTATCACTAAAATCAAAATCAAGCTTGGTCTTAAAATCATAACAAAGATATTCTAGAATTAACAGCATAAAACTTATTCTCCTTCAACATTTCACTTGGGATTTGTTTATAGACTCAAATGAACCCAAAACTGTCCTTTTTCTTTTACAGATCATACTGATGATTTCATTTTTAATCCTAACAAATTTACCACAGTGATGATCAAAGAAAAGACAGAAAGCTTATCAGTATAATCAGTGGTAAAATAGCTGCAGTGCTATTTTCACTCATGATCTCATCTTTGAAAAACAAACTTTTTCCAAAAGATTTCTCCTTCAAGAAAATAAACACTTTTCAGGCAGCAATGTCAAATTTAAGTCAGTGAAACTAAAGAAGGAATCAGATGTCCTGGCCTTATGCATATACATTTACCATCCCTTAGACTATGAGATTAATAACATCCAAACCAGCCTCACCCTTATTTGTCTGGGTTTGGGGTGGCAGGTCCCAAAACCAAAGGAGCATTCCATCAGAAGGGAGCAGAGGATGGCTGCACAGCTAACGGGACATGTGGCTCCAGCACCCAGCCCCAGTGCAGGAATCGGCTGATGTGCAGCCACCATCAAAAAACTGCTTTAATTTGGTGGTTACCATCGATCTCTCTAATGTCTTGGTAACAGGAAGAAACATAAATGTGTGCTTAAATATGCTGCTGACATCATACAAAAGTTAAAGGCTCATCTCACTTCCCTCACATCAATTACTCCAATGGAAAATAGGTATGGAGGAGGTTCTGTTGAATCTGACCTTCACAGCTGCATCGCTCTCTGCAACCACTGACCAAAATTATTGCACACACAGTGTTCCTCCCCTTCCCACATCTCAATTTTCCATGTACAGCCATCAAATTTCATCTTAGCAGTTTTGATTAATAGAAATATTATCACAGGGATTAAAATGTATTTAAATAAGCTAGTTTAGACTTAATTAAATGTTTCAGGAAGACTTTATGTTAGAGCATGATTAGCAACTTCTTTACAGGTAAAGCTGCCACTACACAGCATATACCAAACCTATGAAAAATTGCTAGTACCTACATCATGCTTCTGAAACAACCATAGACCAAAGATGTAATGAGAAGCAAAAGTAATGCCCATACATTTGTTCCTCGCTATACATCACTTCAGAAGTTCTCTTCTGGACCAAAGTGCATCTGAAGTTACTTATAGAGGTTATGTGCTCAGAAGTGCAGAAATGAATCCAGCAAAATAATGAAATAATCAATCTGAGCAACACTGCACAGGAAGTCATACTCAGCAATGCAATGAGATGCTGGAAGCAAATTAATCTTGATTTGCCAAAACTGCCCACCTATAGGTGATAGTCACTTCTGCATTTGCACTGGTATACTTCAAAGTGTACTGGCGTGCAAACATGTGCTCTTCTTGAAGTTGCACACCTAGCTTCCATCTTAGCACAATATTACTTCATTTCTATCATCAGCAAAATACTAGACAGTGTACTTTTGTTTTTTGTTATGACTTGAGCTTTGCTTTGTTGTTTTCAGGGGGTTTTTTGTGTTGTTTTTTTTTTTTTTAACTTGAAGGCATTTTATTCTACCCTTATACAAGCAAATTGCTCCTTTCCATAGTGCACTGTCAACAATAATCCTGCATAATAAGATGGTGCTAACACTTCACAATGAGATTTTCTGTTGGTGCCCAGAAAAAACATCTGCAAGAAAGGGTTTATTCAGAACTAGGTTTGTACACTAATAATGTTCGTATCCCCTCTCCCTCACAGCTGCTGATGATTACAGACTAGAGATGGAACATATGCAGAGAGGCTGGTTCTGAAAATACAGCCCTTAAATATTGCCCTTTTATTTCACTGTTTCCCTTTTGATCCGACTCTTGACATCCACAGTTTATAATCGACAAACACTTTTAAAAGCTTTCACGTTTTAACCAAAGATAGAGGCAGAAATAGTTCAGCAGAATAAAGAGACCTTTGGACCCATCTTGGGGCTGGCTGTCTCCGAAACCCTGACTGCCTACTTCACCCAGCCGATAGGCAGAGTGCTGTTGGAAGAGAATATATAATGTCCTCTGGTGATGATAACTAGAATTTCCCAAAGCTGGGGGAGCTGAACACACACCTGTGTCCAAAGCCACCATGAGCAGCACGGCCCAGCTTTTCGCACGCTGCGGGTGCCCGTGTGAGGGGATTCATTTCAGCATGCCAGAAAATCTGGTTTCCTGAGCCCTTACCTAGCAATGAAGCAAGGTAATTTTAGGAATGAAAGGACGTTGGAGTTTAAGCACATCACCCACATACATTTTGGAAACAGGCATTTGTTTAGTGAACGCACTTGTCTTTAAATATAACCTTTGGATGCCGGTGTTACATCAACGGTGACCACCATCAGTTCATTAACAGGACAGAGAAACTGCTTATGCTTTGACAGGACGAAAGAGTCAACAGAACTGATACAAACAATTACCAATATCTTCCTGACTAATTTAACCAGATCATTCATGTTGGAAGGCATCTCTGAAGGTCATCTAGTCTAAACCCACTGCTCAAAACAGGGTCTACTACAGCAGGTTGCTCAGGACTGAGTCCAGTCGGGTTTTGAATATCTGCAAGGATGGAGATGCCACAAACTCTCTGGGCAGCCTGGTCCAGTGTTCAATCATCCTTAAAGAATAAATTTTTATTGCATTCAAACAGAATTTCCTGTATTTCAGTTAGTGCCCATGGCCGCTCATGCTGTCACTGGGCACCAGGGAAAAGAGCTTGGCTCCATCTTCTTTATTCCCCTCCATCAGCAGGTGCTTACACACATGGGTAAGATCCCCCTGAGCTTCCCTTCTCCAGGCTGAACACTCCCAGCTCCCTCAGCCTCTTCTCATATGTCAGATGCTCCAAGCACTTCCATCATATTCCTGGCCCTTTGCTGGAGTCACTCCAGTAAGTCCATATCCCATACTGGGAAAGACACCACTGGACCCAGCCCTCCAGCTGTGTCTCACCCAGGCTGAGGACAGGGGAGTAGGACGAGTGTAATTTTAACTAGATTCAGTGTTGCACACACCTTTCCTACATGACTGAGATGGACTAACTAATCCACAAGTGAGAGCAATGCTTTCTCATATTTCTGAACTACGGGGTTCAAATTTATATTTCAAAATTTTGTCATTTTATTTAGTTCACTTTCCTGTGAGAGCAAAACCACTTCAATCTGCTTATCCTGAGGTGTAAACCTGAAAGTTAACAAAATCTTTGTGCTTGTTACCCCATAACCCCAAAAGTACAATGCAATCAAAATTGTCCTTTCACTTGTCCGAGCCCATCAAGCTAATGCCAAAAGCAGTATACCTGAACAAGTATATTTCTACAGTATCAGAGAATTACAAAAGGAAAGAAAATCATAATTCATATAAAACTATTATTGCCTCCAGCCTTCAGAACTGCCAATACAATAACATTAGATTTACCCTTAGAGACTTATATTAATAGCTAGCCTTGGCCATGTAAAATCTATGGGACTCCATTTTTATATTTGTGTATGCATATAAATTATACACATACCCACACACACAATCCTAAAAAAAAAAGACCCAGATCTTCTTCGATCACAGATCTTGTAAAAACTTCTGAGCAAATACCAGAGTAAATACAGATGAAGTTTGAAGCTCTTCCTGCGATGATTCACTTGCACAAGACACATGGCAAAAACAATGGGATCTATACATTACAGCAATGACACTGTCTTCCTCTGCGTGGGCAGTATCTAGTGTGCTGTCAAGGCTACTGAGATATGAACAGAAACAATAAGACTAAAACAAGCTTATGAATGCAAGATGTTTACACGTAATTTAGAAAACAAATTTCCTGCCCTTTTTTTGGAAGCCGAATTCCACCTTGCCAGATCACACAGTTCAGCTCTTTGTACCAGAATTTTATGTAAGACCCCACATTACAAAACCAAATGACGTAACAGGCATTTTTAAAGGAGCACCAGGGTAGTTATTACAACAAGCTACTTGTGCCTTAACATGCATACAGGTTCAGGCTGCCTCTTAAAAAATGCTGGTCCTCTAACTCCATATACATTTCATTTCCTAATGCTTAATATTTTAGAACAGAACTGAAAGAATAAACAAAG